TTGTTAAATAAAATGAAAATAACAACTGCTCTGCATTTCACTTCCACATGCAAAGTGTAAGTAACAGGGTTATGGTCAGAGTAGGGAAAAGAGAGAAAAAAAAACAGATAATGCACATACTTGTGGTACGACAAGGTATGAATTGGAAATAAAATCCATGATTTCCAATGAGCGAATTTTGTTTGGAATCACAGTATGGTCTGCAATTCTTCCCCCAATCTTGAACTTCCTTAAAGTTCATCATCTACATAATTGAAGCTAACATCTTTGGAAATTGAAGTAGAATACAGAAATGGGCAGAAACGTGGGCATATTTTTTACTCCTTCCTGTGATATTGTTTAATATATTAGTCAATCAAGTGAGGTGGCTGGGGAGCAGGAATTCTCTGAAGAGGCAGAATACACCAAATAACAAGGGATGATATTAAAGCAAATACCAAACATAAAGCAGACTAAGCAGTTTGATATTTCACTCACAACAGAATTTAAACCTGAGCTAAAATGTGCTGCATTTAAAGCAGGAAGCCTGCAACTTGAACTATGTGACATGTTATGCAATATTTTACTTTTTGTAATGTCTCTTCATTTTTAATTCCTTCAGTAAGTTTCAAAATTGTCAATGGCAGGGTTAGATAAGAAAATATGTGTGTAAAAATGGGAGTACTACTTGCATCTGCATGGCAATAATAAACAGAATACTGCAGCTTTAAAAATCCTGTGGTTAATATGAATCAGATTGGCAAGAAACAAGGAGTGCAATGGTAACCCTTATATCAGTTCCAGTGTATTGATCAGTGATGGAATGTGCCAAATGCTCAAAACTTTATACCATAAGGGGGTAACCTTTCCCGAATGATATTGGTCCTTGCAATGCCTATGGAACAAAAAGAAGCATGGCACTGTTTAAAAACACAAAAGTTTTCATTGTGAAGTTCAAAACTAAAGTTTCTAAAACTTAAATCTTGATCAGAAATAGTACACAGCATCTTTTTTTCAGCTACTCACCAAGTGGTCTTAAAATCTGTCAGCTCAGGAACTGCCACGAGTACACTTTCTAGAAATTGTGACAGATATGAAACTGCTCGAACCGAATGAAATTAGCAGCTAAATAATTCTGAGTTTCTGATACACAGTTATGAGGGGGCAGGAGCCAAGAAAAAGCATACTGAAGAAAGTTGCCCATTACTAAAAGTAATTACAAATCCATTACTTCCAAACATGGTGATCAAAAATATTGGGCATGGGGAATGGAAGAAGAATGAAATATAAAAGCAGGGCTATTTTGTTACAGTGTACAGAGCAATGGTGACAGCACTGCTGGAGTGCTGTGTAGAAGTTTGGTCTCCTTACTTGAGAAAAGGTATAACAGCACGAGAAGCAGCTCAGAGAGAAGGCTCACTCAGTCCAAGACTCCTTTGCACATTCTGAACCTGTGATCATTGCCATCTCAAACAGCAAGGGCAGCAGACGTAAGAATAGCATCACTAGCAAATTCCCGTCCAAATCACTCACCATCCTGACTTGCAAGTCTATCGCTGTTCGTTCAGTGCTCTATCTGGTTTCAATCTTGTTGAGACTCTCAAGTTGTCGATACAAATAAGTGGCTGGCTAGGCTATTCCAGAGGGTAATTAAAAGTCAACCGTTGCTGTGGGTATGGAGTCACACTTGGCTAAACTAGTTTAGGATGGCAGATATCCTTCCCTAAGTGAAATCGGTGAACAGACAGGTTTTCATGACAACCAACAAGTCATCATTAGACTTTCATTTTCAGATATGTGTTGAATTTAAATGCCACCACCTGGCTGTGGAATTTGAATCCATGACCCCAGAACATTACCCGAGTCTCTCAATTAATAATCCAGTGACTCTATTGCCTCCCTGAGACAGAGAGCACCAGAACCAGGTTTTGTGCAGTAAAGGGCTGCCTTGAGCCACTGAATGTGTGCAGTTAGGGTTCAGGAAGATGTCCTAAGAGCAGCTGGATAGCTCCATGCAATGCAAACTTAGCTGCACTTGCTGGTCCCAAGGACTTCCCCGAAGGTTGGAGTTAAGGAATCACAACAGTGCTGAAGCTGCAGGGGATTCAGAAGAAAACAGTGAACAATTAATACTTGAGTGGAGTTGAGAGTGAAGGTTGAAAAAAGACCACAAGCAATGTGTGCTCATGTAGGTGAGCAGACTGGGAGCCAGGAAAATTAACTGGCACAGTATTGCCTTGAAGAGCTGGAAATGTGCCTGTAACTGCTGGACTACAATTCCAGAATCCAGGCGCACGATGCTTGAAAAGGACATAAGCAGTGGTTGAGGTAGTCCATGACAAAATGTGCCGGTTCCAGTTATGAGTAGTAATGGTCGGTATATAGACCCGATATACCGACCGTTACAATGCACAGCCAGAACCGGCACCTTCTGGAAGCAGCAAAAACTAAGCCATATAAATTCGAACTGGCACAAGACAACAGCGCTTCACAGGAGGCTCCACAGCACAGAAGATGTCACCGAGGAAGGGGACAAAACATTTGCTATCAAATCTCCCAGCTCAGCGAACACACCAATATCTACTACATAAAAGCATCTCTGAACTGGTTGATTTGTAAAAAAAATCTTAGGGAAGGGGTTGCTGAGAAATCTGAGATCTGCCTTGCCTTCATTTGCTATCTGATGTGCTTGGTCAGGTGTTCGACATAATTAGTTATGTATATTTAGTTCAGGTTAATTCTAACTGGATAAACTGTATCACTGTCCTAACTTTGTATAGTGGAGTTTACTGTTGCTCGTTCGAAGCTTTGAAATATTGTGTCATTATTTTCCAGTTCCTGGGATTTCACACTTTGTCAGCTTTAAAAACAAAATTACTGATCCCCAACCATACTGCACATTAAATATGTTTATTGTAAAAGTTTATAAAATAATAAGGGGTATAGATAGAGTTAGTGGTAGTTGTCTTTTCCCTAAGATGGGGGATTTCAAGACTAGGTGACACATTTTTAAGGTGAGTGGAGAGAGATTTAAAAAAGACATGGGGGCTATTTTTTTTTTTAAAGAGGGTAGTTTGCATGTGGTATGAACATCAAGAGGAAGTGGTGGATACGTGTACAATTACAACATATTTAAAAGACAGGAACAAAAACAAAGTTGCTGGAAAAGCTCAGCAGGTCTGGCAGCATCTGTGAAGGAGAAAACAGAGTTAATGTTTCAGGTCCGGTGACCCTTTCTCAGAAGTTGAGGAAGGGCACTGGACCCGAAACGTTAACTCTGTTTTCCTTCACAGATGCTGCCAGACCTGCTGAGCTTTTCCAGCAACTTTGTTTTTGTTCCTGATTTACAGCATCCGCAGTTCTTTTGGTTTATATTTAAAAGACATTTGGATAAGTACATGAATAGGAAAGGTTTGGAGCGATATGGGAAAGGGGCAGGCAGGTGGGACTAGTTTAATTTGGGATTATGGTCAGCATAGACTGAAGGGTCTGTTTACACACTGTATGACTCTATGTAAATTAAATATGCAGTTTGCTCCAGGTTCATAATACTAGGTATTACGCTGCCCTGAAGTGACTCTTTGTTCTCTATGAAATCATGATCACCTTCTGCTTACAGGATGATTTCCAAGGTAGGACCTGTAAGTGAAGTCAGCAAAGTTACCCAGCCAAAAAAAAAAATTCATCCCAATTTTGGAAAAAAAATACAGTAGGTTAAGGGATGAACTGATCTAACTTTTCAAGATACTAACAGAAACAGATAGGGTAGATAAGGAGAACCTATTTTCACTGGTTGGGGATTCCAGAACTAGGGATCTTAGTCTTAAAAATTAGCGTCAGACATTCAGGAGAGATGTTAGGAAGCACTTCTACACACAAAGGGTGGTAGAGGTTTGAAACTCTGCCACAAACAGCAGTGGATACAGGATCAGTTGTTAATGTTAAATTGGAGATAGATAAATTTTTGTTAAGTAGAAATATTTAAGGGATCTGGGCCTGAATCAGACATATGGAGGTAGGCCATAGATCAGCCATGATCTCACTGAATGGTTGAACAGGCTCAAGGGGCTGAATGGCCTAATCCTGTTCCTATGTTCCTCAAATTCTGGGGAGACCATGATTTTGGTTTGGTAAAACACCAAGTAGTTGGAATTTAAAATGTCAAATGTTTTAGTTTAATGTATGGTAACTCTGTGCTATCCCTAAACTACAAACACGATGGGAAATTGTATTGTCATTTACATTGGGAGTAGTCTTGATGAGATATTTTGCAGCTTGCCATGCAATGTCAATTACTCATCTGGAATTACATTGCTGAATGCACACTATTAGAAAAACTACTTTATGTACACAAATTGTAACTGCATCATTTGATGAAAACTGTTAAACAGCAGAAAGCAGAGAAATATTAAATTATGGGCGTGCAGTATTGCCTGCTGGCTCGACGACCAGACATGATCAGGAAAAGAACTAGTAAAACAAAGAGGTCTCCATTAGATCATAAGATGCAGGAGCAGAATTAGGTGTTTTGGCCCACTGGGTCTGCTCTGCAATTTGATCATGGCTGGTATGTTTTTCAACCACATTCTCCTGCCTTCTCCCCATAACCTTTGATCCTTTTAATTTCTCAATTTATAAGGTATTTGAACCAACAGAAAACAAGGAATTACACGTCAGTGCCTCTACGAAATGAAACGTTGAGCATTAATACACATTTTAATATTGTTTCCACATAGTAAAAATATTACACAGGACCAAGCTAAACCATGAGCAGATATTACTTTCCAATGCACATACAGCATGAATGCATGTCTGAGTACACCTAAATATTAATTCACCATTACACAGCAGTATGAAGAAAAAGCCAGACAGTGTTCCACTATCTGAGAAGTGAAGTGAAGCTATATATAATTCATGGTAGCACTTTTTTAATTTGTAGTAAAAGGCTGGCTGCTCCTTGTTTTAGTTGAGGAATGGTGTTCAGATAAATTAAAACAGAACTTTACAGAAGCTAAAGTTACCGAGAAAGGCATCCACCAGACAGCTGACACCACGCATGGCTCGGAAGAAGATTTGAGGCAGTTGTTTGAGGCATGGATGTTGCATCATTTCCTGTGCCATCCCACTAACGCTCAAAAGCTGTTCCTGGAATTTTGGTGTGGTGCTTATTATGGCTGGGTTACTCAGATCCACTGGATTGCTGTAGTGAAATAATAAGGAATTTTTAAAAAATGCAATTCCACCAGAGCAAAATTGGTCTGATTTATTTAACTTATTCTGAACAAGAGCACAATCCACAGAGTTCAGAGTGCAAACTACTTTTCTAATTTACTATAAAATCTACAAAATTTACAACAACATCAATGTTTTTTTGACAAGGTTGAGCTCCTCTCACTGGGATGTCTGTGATGAGGGATCACTAACTCGTAGGTTGTTGGAACATGGAATGCTTTTTCATTGTGAATAAGGTGAGGCCGAGATGCTTGAAGGGAAAACTAGATAAGCATTAGAAGCACAGGAAGGATACGGAGCTGTTTTGGAAAAGAAGGATCTGTTTTTGAAAAACAGAAGTGGTGCCAACAGAGACAGTGGGGTGGGAGCTGATGGGTTTCTCCATGCTGACAATGCATTGTAAACACAATATCTTTTTATTTGTATGTGTTTAAGATCCTGGACTAATGGGAAAAGGAGTATTTTGAAAATGCACTTTTTAAAAGCAAGGTACAGAAACTCATTGTAAGGGGTGTTTACACTGCTGTTTTGTCCAACCAGTGGGAGTGATTGGTTGCATACAGGCCAACACCAGGGGTGTGTACAAAATGAGATTTGGCTGGCAACAATTAGCTGATTGGTTTGTGGAATTGTAATGAGTTGTGGATGACAAAGGCCATCTGTCTGCCGACAACTGTGTGGTTGGCTCCTGGGTAGCCGAACAATCTGTGGATGCAACGATATGTCAGAAACGTTAGGGCATCCGGAAGTGGTTGCAGTGTGCCTCTCCAGTTGAAAATACCTGAAGTCTTAAGAAACCCAGTTTATTTTCCCTCACTAATAATTGTAAGCTGTTGTTTTTAACCAATAATTTGTGAACCAGCTGTGCTGTGCCTCCTGCAAAGAAGAGAGACTGAAAACAGCAAGTCTAGACAAGCAAAAGGATCATCCCAGCAAATCCTGCGGTGAAGGGCCATTGACTGCTCTCCCAGTGTTCCCCTCGACCCATAACACCAAGGATTTTGTGTCTGTGTGTAGGGGCAGTTTTATAAGGGGGTCAGTGTTTTAACTGTCAGAGTAATATGTTGATAGTTAATTAACTGTTTACCTGGAGCTAGAATCTATTTACTTGTAATAAATTGTAATTTTTAAGTACAGAAATCTGGTCCATGCTTTCTGTTTATCTTGATCTAAATGGACAGGGAAATTGAGGAATGTGGGCGCACTATGACAAAATCTCTAACTTTTGTGGTGAATTCAGAAATAATGGGTCTTGAGTTCCAGCGCCCTACGACAATGAGGCATGACAGATTCTAAGATAATATGATTTTTAAATTACAAAATCTGAGACACTATTTCATCAAACATAAACATAACCTAACAGGTAGGTTAGTGACTGCGCACAAGACATCATTTTGTATCAATAGTCTAAAAGGCAGGCCACATACGCTTACAGCTCTTAAGTGCACACAGAAGCTATGCATTCTTACCTAAGCATGTGCAAAACACGAAACCAAGTCTGCGCAACGCAGTCATTGTCCATTTCTGCTGGAATCAGGATTGCATCTTCATCTGGAACTTTGAATGGAGGGAATGAAGGACCATAGGTAAACCGCAACAGCCTGTTAGAGAGAGAAAAATTGCTATAAATGCAATTAAAAAGAGTGGCTTGTGTCTATATGTAGATTGATAACAAATTTTCACAACTTCTACATCGTACAGCTGCAATCATGTATCTCCATTGTAATAAATTTAATTTTCCAAACATATTCACTAAATGAGTGGCTTGCAATCATTTCTAATACAAAACATAACTGAGGTGCTGAGAATCTGGGAGCTGTGATTTGCAGTGAAATAACATGGTTTATTACTTTGGGATCCATGATTGCATCCAACTTGTAGCAATGGGAAGTCCATAAGACCAGATGATGTAGGAGCTGAAGCAGGCCATTCAGCCAGAGTCTGCTTTGCAATTCAATGAGATCATGGCTGATCTGATAATCTTCAACTCCACTTGATTAAAAATCCAACTCAGCATTGTCTAATACCCAGCCCCTGTAGCCCAATCAAGAATTTCACAAATTCATTACATTCACAGAAGAAATTCTTCCTTCTCTGCCTTAAATGTACAACCCCTTATTCTGAGATTATGCCCTCTGGTCTTAGACTTTCCCACAAGGGGGAAAAAAAATCTTTTCGGCATCTACCCTGTCAACTCCCCCAAGAATCTCACATGTTGCAATAAGGTTGCCTCTCATTCTTCTATATTCCAATGAGTACAGGCTCAATCTACTCAACCTCTTCTCATGAGGCAGTCCCTCCATACCTGATAATAGCCCTGTTAATCTTCTCCGGACTGCCTCCAATATCTTTGCTTACATAAGGGGCCCAAAACTGTTCAGAGTATTCCAGTTGTGGTCAGACTTGTGCCTTGTATAGTTTTAGCAATACTTCCCTATTTTTAATACTCCATCCCTTTTGAAACAAAGGCCAACAGCCCATTCGCCTTCCTTATTACCCGCCAAACTTGGATGCTAGCCTTTTGTGATTAATGGACGAGGACTCCCAAATTCTTCTGTTCCACAGCTTCCTGCAGTCTCTTTCTCCATTCAAATAATATTCAGGTCCTCCATTCTTCCTGCCAAAGTGCATAACCGCATATTTTCCCCACATCAACTTCCATCTGCCGTGTTTTTGTCATCTCACCTAACCTGTCCAAGTCCCTCTGCAGATCCTTTTTGTCATTCTCAACACTTTCCTTCCCACCTATTTTTGTGTCATCTGCAAACTTGGCTATAGTGGATTCCCTTTCCCCATCCAAGTCATTCTTATATGTTGGAAACAATTGTGGCCTCAGCCCATATCTGTGCGGGACTCCACTAGTTACTGACTGCTGTCCTAAAAATGTCCTCTTTATCACAACCCTTTGTCATCTATGAGTTAGCCAACTGTCTATCCATGCCAATGGATGTCCAATATCATGGGGTCTTATCTTATTAAGTAGCCTAATGTGCAGTACCTTAAACGCCTTTTGAAAATCCAAATGGATTACATCCACTGCTTCCCCTTCATCTCTCCTGCTTGTTACCTCCTTAAAGAATTATTGTAATTTTCTCAGACCCGATTTCCCCTTCATGAAGCCATGCTGACTTTGCTTAACCATGTCACATATTTTTAAATGCTCTGCTATCACATCCTTTATAATTGGTTCTAACATGACCCAAGAACAGATGTGAAGCTAACTGGTCCATTGTTAGCTGAGTTTTGCCTCCTTCTCTTTTCAAATGAAGGTGTTACATTGGCAGTTTTCCAATCCTCTGGGACTTTTCCAAAATCTAAATCTTTGTGGTTTGTACATTCAAGGACCTCAAATGAACAATGATTGGACCATTCATGGGCCACATCCTTGTGATGTCAGCTGTGGCTGAGTGGTAGCATGTTCACTGCTGATTAAGAGGTTATGGGCTCAAGTTCCACTCCAGAGGCTTGAATACAAAACCAAGGCTGACACGCTTGTGTGATACTAAGAAAGGTGCAATAATTAGCATTTTTTGGATAAGACTTTAAACTATTACAGCATTATTTGAAGAGGGTCAGAAATCACATGACACCAAGTTATAGTCCGACAGGTTTATTTGAAAACACAAGCTTCTGGCGCCTCATTCCTTCTTCTGGTGTTGGTGACAGAGGTACTTTGAGGCACAGAATTTATAAGAAAAAGATCAAAGGATCACAACACTGATGATGATGTATTAAACAAACCTAAGATGCTGTTGAATCTTTAATCAGTTAGAAGGTTTTAATTGATTAATATGCATATGTAAATCCCTGAATTCCTTTCAAGTCACTGCCCTGAGAGAACTAAAGGTTTTATCAGTGTAAAGAAGAGGGGACACTTTAGGTCACACAATGTATGTTAGGTGCGAGGCCTTGTTTCGATATTGTTTGTGTTTTGATTTGGTGTCAGACACTCACTCTCTTTCCTCCCGCAGTCCAAATCGGGGCACCCAGAGGAAATCAATGCAGTAATGGGGAGAATGTTCAAACTCCATACAAACAGTTGCCAAAGAGTGGAATTGAACCCAGGTCCCTGGTGCTGAGAGGCAGCAGTGCTAACTATTGAGCCACACTGCCACCGTTTTTGCCAAGTGCATTTAGCAAACATGGCATGTCTATATATACTAACCTAGAGGTCAGTGCACATATGACCTTACTCCACTGTTCTACCACAGCTGGGTGATGCCTCCAATTGGCCAACATTTCGCGCGCAGTCTTCCAGTATGGTGGGGTCGGGAAACATCGTGTACAAGCCAGGAACCAGACTTCAAACAGTACACCGATTAACTTATCGGCAAGATTTTCTGCTAGTCCTCCTAAAGGTAAGCAAATTAGCATACAAATTACTTTTAGATACACACTCAATATTACAGGGTTATTTGGAAGGAGCAAGGGGGTGTGACTACTTGTATAACATTCTTGAAGCCAACAAAGGCATAATGGGCTGTATGGCCTTCTTCTGTATTGCAGGAGTATGGGTTAATAGACTACAAAGGTCGAAGATAACTTCCGATTACAGTAATTGTTTAGAAATGTATATCTGTTTGGAATGAAATGTACCAATTTTGTAATAACTGATTAGACTTAGCCAACATAAAATCAAAATTCCATTATCATGACTATCCAGTGCTTAAAATGTAGCATCTTGATGCTAAGACTGTCTGTTCAACATAAGCTGGTTATTGTATGTTCAAGCTTAAGCTGGTTAATAACTGGTCTCATTCAAGCATTATAAGGATAGTAGAAGTCTTACATGCTCACATGTAATAGTCACTACGAAAAGACAAGACTGCTCACATTTATTTTACAGACCTGATCAATTAGGAATTTTTCTGGGATGGACGAAGCTATCATAGAAACATGGAAAACAGGAGCAGAAGGTGGCCATTCAATCCATCAGCCTGCTATGCCATTCAACATGATAGTGGCTGATTCTCAACAATCAACAGGATGAGTGGCTGGGAGGGGAACGTGGTAACATCACCACCTGCAATTTGCCTCCAAGCCACTCACTGTCCTGACAAGGAAGTATAATCATTTTTTCAGTGTCGCTGGGTCAAGATCCCTCCCCAACAGCACTGTGCGTCAACCTACAGCACATGGACTTCAGCGGTTCAAGAAGGTAGCTCACGACCATCTTCTCAAGGGCAATCAGAGACAGACAATAAATTCTGACCAGCCAGTGACATCCATGTCCCACAAGCAAATTAAAAAACACCATATCCTGGTCTGTCTCCATAATCCCTGACACCTTCAGTTACAAGAAATCCATTTCTTTCCTAAATATATTCACAGTCACCTGCCTTCCACAGCCTTCTGTGGTACAGAATTAAACAGATTCATCACCCTCTGCGTGAAGACATTTCTCCTCACCATAGTCCAAGATGACCTACTGCATATCCTGAGATTATCAAATCATCAATCTTAAGTGGTATGATTTTGCAAACTAACCACTTTTGCAGAACTTTATCAAGAGCCTTCTGAATTAAAACTAAAAAGTAATTAGGTAGCTTTATGGTAGCCTAATTTTGAACAGTGTGCTAGAATTGATCACTGTACGATGCAAAGAGTGAGTGCTGTGGATGCTGGAATTATGAAATAGGACAGAAAATCTCGGATCTCCTCTAGCCCCCCAGCATACCTCTAAGAATAAAAACCAAAAGAACTACGGATACTGTAAATCAGGAACAAAAACAAAGTTGCTGGAAAATCTCAGCAGGTCTGGCGGCATCTGTGAAGGAGAAAACAGAGTTAACGTTTCGGGTCCGGGGACCCAAAACGATACCTCTAAGAATGCTGCACTCCGGTAGTACTGGTCTCTTGCACCTGACTGTTTTCAGTATCCTACCATTGGTGGGTTTGCCTTCAAATACCTGGCCCATAAAACTCTGAAACTTCCTCCCTAAACTATGTTGCTCTGCTCTTTTTCCTTCCTCATGACGCGTTAAAACTTACTCTCTTTGACCAAACTTTTGGTCACTTTCCTTCATATCTCCTTGAGGTACAATTGCAATTTTATGTCTGATTTACACCTCTGTGAAATAGCTTGGAAAATTTTAACCTCATTAAGGACACAATATAAATTAACATAGTATTATCAGGGTTGTTGCCTGTATACTAACCTGGAACTGTTGGAGCTGCCAGAAGTGTGTCATTAATTTGCAATAGGAAGAGCAACAGAACTTCCCATGTTTCCCTCGACATGTTGACAGATTCACGTGCTAATTTCTGGACTGCTACTAGGACCCTCATGCATAGTGAGATCTGATTATGAGCGTAGTCTGGGCTGAAAGCAAAAGACAATTGCACTTAAAAATAAAAAAAATTGTTATAAACAATATGTGGTGAACAAGTGCAATATCTCAACTCAATTTAATTTAGTTTCAACCATTGTTGATTTAGTTATTAAATCTCAATCCTGTCTGTTTCATAACATTAAGTTTTATTATTGTTTTCCTTGTGTTATGCATTATTCCCTGACCAAAAATATGGGCAGACAGGTCATTTAAATCTCTAGCAATTCAGCTCTTTAACAAGACAGCCAGGAAGGTCATGCAATCTGTTATCACGGATGTAATACCACTGGACTGACTGCCAAATTTTATTGCAGCAAAGAAATGCTGCTGAATTAAATGTGACAGAAATGGGATTTCACGGAGCTTTTATTGAAGTAAGATGACAAAAGACCATTCAACCCAAATCACCTTTCCTTTTGGTCTGTGTTTGAGAAAAAGTTTATGGGATATATAATTCAGTCCTTGCTTCCATACCACTATCTTGTTACATGTTGATCCTGCTCTGTGCTTTTCTTGAATTCTTCAATGAAGTACATATTTGAGGTGATTGATGCAGGTTTTCTTTCTGTGATTTAGCACAGAAACACAGAATATAGGAATAAGAGCAGGCCATTCAGCTCTTTGAGCCTACCCCGCTATTCAATATGATCACAGCTGATCATCCAACTCAGTAGCCTGAAACTAAATTCAAACAAAAAGCCAAGAGAAACTTACCAGCCATGATTGAATGGTGGAGCAGACTCGAATGGCCTAATTTCTGTTCCTGTGTCTTACGGTGTTATGGTCTAAAAGAACCATAATCTCAAAATATCAAATACTTCTTGAAAATAAAGGTAAACTTTCCAATCCAGAGGGAGCATAAATTAGGTGGGAGCTAAAGAATATCCAGTACTCAGCCTGTGGTGATTTTTTTCCTCCACTGGAGTATATGGAAAGGAAAACAAGGCTGGATGCATTATGACATTTGTTCCACTCCTGCCAATCTTAGATTACAACAGAAGCACAAAGCCTTTCACACTTACCGGGGAACAAACAGATTCTGCAGGTGTTTGAGAATAGTTTGCACATATAGATTTGGTTCTTTGACAATGGGCTGAGGGATAGAGTCACGACGAGCAACCAAAGCCATAATCCAATCCGTATAAACGTCCACACATAACTTTACTGTTTCCCCATCCAGAGGCAGAGTCAGTCCATAACAGAGGACCTCCATAGTCCATTTTACCTGCCCAGGAGAGTAAAGCACAATATCAGTGTCCAAGCTCACAATTATTTTTGAGCTACCCAGTTAGAATTCAATGGTCCCATTCAGCCTCATACTGGGTCAATTTCCATCAGTCAATTTCTGGTCAGTCAGCAAGGAGATGGCAATTCTCTGACTGTTGTCAGAAACTAGCCCCAACAAATGCGACACAAATGTTGCAAAGTTGAGTTGCAGAGCTTCTAAAATTTAAATGAGACACAAAGTCCATTAAAACATATTGTGTGATGACTCTTTCTTCCTGAGAGGCATTATTTGTCATTATAGCTGCCAGATGTTTCAATCTATTGAACAGTGACAGTTAAGATGATTCTGGGGAAGTGATGATTTCTAAATGGACCTTTGTATGATTGGGTTTTGCCAATGAGTGGAGTCCCAGAGTGACCTGTCCTTTGGCCTTAGCTTTTTACAACTTTTGTCAATGATTTAGATGGGGGGAACAAAGGCATGGCAGCTAAATTCACAGACAACACCAAGGAAGACCATAAGATAACAGGAGCAGAATTAGGCTACCGGCCCATCAAGTCGCTCTACCATTCAATCATGGCTGATATGTTTTTCAACCCATTCTCCTGCCTTCTTCCCATAACCTCTGATCCCCTTACCAATCAAGAACCTATCTTCGTCTTCAATACTGTCAATGACTTGGCCTCTACAGTTCTCTGCAGCAATGAGTTCCACTGATTCACCACCCTTTGGCTGCAGAAATGCCTCTTGGCTTCAGTTCTAAAGAGTCAGCCCTTCACTCTGAGGCTGTGCCCTCAGGTCCTAGTCTCTTCTACTAGTGAAAACATCTTCTCCATGTCCACTTTATCCAGCCTCTCCATATTCTGCAACTTTCAATCAGAAATCCTTCCAAACCCATGACCACTTCCAACCAGAAGGACAAGGGTAGCAGATACATGGGAATACTACCAGCTTCAAGTTTGCCCCCAAGCCACTCACCATTTTGACTTGGAAACGTATTACCGTTCCTTCACTGTTACTGGGTCAAAATCCTGGAATTCCCTCCCTAATGGCATTCTGGGTCAACCTACAGCAGGTGGACTGCAGCAGTTCAAGAAGGCAGCTCATCACCACCATCTCAAGGGCAACTATGGATGGGCAATAAATGCTGGCCCAGCCAGCAACGCCCTCAACCTACAAATGAATAAAAAAAAATCCTCCCCTCGTCCTTCTAAACTCCAGCGAGTACAAACCCAGAGTCCTCAACAGTTCCTCATATAACAAGCCCTTCATCCTCAGCATCATTCTTGTAAATCTCCACTGGACCCCCTCCCATGCCAGCACATTCTTCCTTAGATAAGGGGCCCAAAATTGCTTGAAATATTCTAAATATGGTCTGACCAGAGCCTTGTATAGCCTCAGCAATACATCCCTGCTTCTGTATTCTAGTCCACTGGCTCTCCTTTATCTGACTTACTTGTGACCTTCTCAAAAAATTCTAGAAGATTTGTCAGGCATGAGTTCCCCTTGGTGAAGCTGTGCCAACTCAGCCTTGTTTTACCACGCACTTCCAAGTACTCCACATCTCATCCTTTATCATGGACTCTAATATCTTACCAACAACCTACAGTTTCTTGTCTTCTGCCATCCTCCCTTCTTAAACAGAGGTGTTATATCAGCCATTTTCCAGTCCTCTGGAACTCTCCCTGACTCCAGTGATAGGTAGGAAAGCATGGTATGATAAAGACAAAGTGGCAGGTGGATATAGATAACTTGAGTGAATTGGTGAAGATCAGGCAAATGGAGTATAATCTGGGAAAATGTGAAGCCACTGACTTTAGCAGGAAGAATAAAAATATAAATCAGAGTATTACTTAAATTGAGGATGAGTGTAGAATTTAGAGGTACTTAACAACTTGGGTATTCTAGTGCATGAGTCACAAAAGTTAGCATGACTCAATTTACAAATATAAGATCTTAAGTGGCAACAACATGGTGGACATAGAAAGATTGTTTCCTCTGTGGGTTATTAGTCCAGAACTGGGTGTATTGTTTTAAAATTTTAGAGGTGAAGAAATGTTTTTTTTTCCTGAGAGAGTTGTACAATTTTGGAACTGTCTGCCACAGAAGACAGTGTAGCTAGTGTCATTGAATATTTTTAAGATGGTGGTGGATAGATTCTTGTTTCACAAGGAGTCAAGTGTTATTAGGGGATAGATAGGAATACGAAATTTGAGACAACAGATTTTGAATCCGAGATAGATGAGACTTTTGTTTAACAAAAAATTAAGGGACACGGGCCAAAGGCAGGTATATGGAGTTAGGCCACAGATCAGCCATAACTTCACTGTATGACAGAAAGGCCGACTACTGTTTCTATGTTCGATCAGCTATTATCTCACTGAATGGTGAAGCAGGCTCAAGGTCTAGTTCTGTACCTATTTCATATGTTCGTTAATATCTACGTATATACAAATGCAACACAGCATGTTACAGTTTTGCTACCTTTTAAAAGAGTCAAAGTCATACAGCATAGAAACAGACCCTTTGGCCCAACTTGTCCATGCTGACCAGGTATCCTAAACTGATCTAGTTCCATTTGCCTGCATTTAGCCCATATCCCTCTAAACTCTTCCTAATCATATACCCATCCAGATACCTTTTAACTGTTGTAATTGTACCCTCCTCCTCCATTTCTTCTGGCAGCTCATTCCATACACGTACCACCCTTTGCATGAAAAAGTTGACCCTTAGGTCCCTTTTAAATCTTCTCCCTCTCACCTTAAACCTATTCTCTCTAGTTTTGGACTCCCCTACCCTAGGGAAAACACCTTGGCTGTTCAACTTTTCTATGCCCCTCATGATTAAAGTCCCAGCCTATCCAGTTCTCCCTATAACGCAAACCTTCCGGCCCCAGCCACATCCCTGAAAGTTTTTTTGTACCCTTTCTAGTTTAGCAACATCCTTCCTATATTCGTGTGACCAGAATTGTAGGCAGTATTCTAAAAGTGGCCTCACCAATGTCTTGTACAGTCGCAACATGATGTCCCAACTCCTATAATCAATGTTCTGACCAATGAAGGCAAGCGTGCCAAATGCCTTTTTCACCACCTAGTCTGTGATACCAATTTCAAGGAACTATAAGCTTGCACCCCTAGGTCTCTGTTCAACCACACTCCCCTGGGCCATACCATAACTATGAAGGTCCTGCCCTGGTTTGTCCTAATGTACCTAGGCTATTTTAAGAAAAGTGTTTATTCAAGCAAACTGTTTATTTCAAAGTATAGCACATGGATCAATCTTCCAGGGACTTGCCTCTTTGTCGGTTTTCAGAATGCTTTCATTGCTGGTTGCAGAAGAACTGTTCAGTCCCTGTCCCAGAGGACGGACCACAGCATTAGCTACATCTTTACCAACATTGCTGGGATAGCTGTGCAGAACACTCATGTGACCTCGGTCACTCTGGATGATGAGTTGCAAAGATCGCCACTCCGAGTACATGGTGTAGCGGTGGCACACGATCCACTCACTTTAACATCTGTCTGAAAGAAAAGGATCAGACATCAGCACTAGATTTAAGATGTTAAAAGAACATTTAAATCATACCATTCTTCTTCCATGTCAGCAAAACAAACCTATATCAGAAATTTGAACATTTACATGCTTTACGAATCAAAACTTTTGCATGATTCTCTTTGGCAAAATGGCTAGGACTTTAGCCAAGTGGAATATTGGCAATACAAGAGTAAGAAATTTCTGATTATATTTGGAAGACCTACAAGAGAAAAATTCACAAGCAGGAACAAAAACACTAGCCATAACAAGCTATACTTTTTGCGTTCAAAATCACACTTGCCTTCTTTATCAGTGAGTTATATCCCCAGGATCTAACTTAATTGTCTCTTGAGTATACTTATAATATCTGCTTCATACTGTTTGTTGCAGTGGTACCTTGAATTCCACAAATGTTATGGTTCTTGCTGACTTACCAATGCTCTATTTGCAGCCAAACACACAGTTGAGTGCTTCACAAAATGCAAACACTCATAGCTTGATCCTATACAAATGTATGTCTGGAATTTCAAGGCATTACACTTAGCAAATTCTTCATAAACTGCTCAATCCTTAAACACAAAAAACCTCTAGACAGTTAATAACAATAACAGTGCAGATAACGGAGGTAATTCAATTCAGCTCAACTTCGTTGTTGCTAGGTCATATTCCTGGCATTGTAGCAATACCTTTAGCACACAACGATTCAATAAGACAGACCACCACCAACTCAAGGATAACAAAGGATTGACAACAAGTACCATTCTTGTCAGCATCAGCCTATGCCCCAGAGTAACACTGACCCTTCCTTAATCTGTGTAGCAACAAGCTTTAAGTCAAATGCATAATCAGAAAGTAAATTAAAACTAGTTTGAAGCAGTCAGCAACATGAAAATGTACAGGTGAACGGGTGTGTAGTAATGTAGTCCAATGATATCAAAACACACTGGGACTTACTGGCAGACACAGTAATTACATGTTTAAAAACAGAATGACTCAGAGCTAGATCAAGATTGTAATGCAAGGTCATCCAAAAGACTAACATCAAAGCTTATCAGGAGTTCGTAACTGGGTCAGTTTTAGAACTACTTTCCAGTCAGTTACTTGACATATCTGACTGTCTGTTGTCCTATCCTTCTCAACCAGGAATATATATATCTAACAGGGATCAACACAATTTTAATCAGTCTCACCAGCTCCATTACAAAATCAGAAGTCACACAACATTAGGTTATAGTCCAACAAGTTTATTTGAAATCATAACACTGGCACCTCTACATCCTTTACGAAACTAAGAGGACAATCCACTGTTTGTTTTCCTATTCCCAATTCTGGCCTTACTAATTTAACACATGCCACACTTGGTATTGCATTCACTTCAGATCTGTTTACCGACTTCTTGCACATAGATACTTCCAGTAATTCACTTAAAAGAGAATTCAGTCCTTATTTAACAAAACATATGAATTATGAAATTAGACATTTTTGCAGTTGTTCTCCCCATCGTATTTGTATCATCCTCCAACACCCACATTTATATATAAAAAGTATATAAAAAGCATGAGTCCTAAAGGTTAAACAACATCCCATCCCCCCACCAAACAGGAAACTCAAGATCTAGTTCATTCCATCCAAATTAAAAATCGATTCACCACTGCTCTCTGCCTCATGAGGGGAACGGATAAGGTGAAAAGCCAACGTCTTTTTCCAGGGTAGGTGAGTCCAAAACTAAAAGGCATAGGTTTAAGGCGAGAGGGAAAAGATTTAACAGGGTACCGGAGTGGCTACTTTTTCACACAGAGGCTAATGCACGTATAGAATGAGTGGCCAGATGAAGTGCTGGAGGTGGGTACAATTACAACATTTAAAAGGCATTTGGACAGGTGCATGGATAGGAAGGCTTGGAGGGATATGGGCCAAACACAGGCAAATGGGACTAGTTCAGTTTAGGATACCTGGTCGGCATGGGCGAGTTGGGCTGAGGCGTCTGTTTCTGTGCTGTATGACCCTCAATCATTAACCGATTATCATTAAAGGAAAAGCAGATTAGATCTTTTGCTACTGTGATACTGAATCTCACTGAAATGATGCAATGCAAAATTTCATTTGTTGACACTCAACCTTGAGAAAAGAAATTCATCATCTGATTTGATTTATTATTGTTACATGTTCTGAGATACAGTAAAAAATATTGTTTTGTGTGCTAACCAGACAAATTAAACCTTACATAAAATACGTCAGGGTAACAGAACAGATTGCAGAATATGGTGTTACAGCTACAGAGAAGGCGGAGAGAAAGATCAACTCTAATATAATCATAGAATCCCTATAGTATGGAAACAGGCCATTCTGCCCAACAAATGCACACTGCCCCTCCGAAGAGCATCCCACCCAGACCCATTCCCTTACCCCCTGCATTTCCTCTGTCTAACCCACCTAACCTAAACATCCCTGGGCACTATGGACAATTTAGCATAGCCAATTCACCTAACCTGCACATCTTTGGACTGTGCAAGGAAACCCACGCAGACACGGGGGGAATGTGCAAACTCCACACAGACAGTCACCCGAGGGTGGAATTGAACCTGGATCCCTGGCGCTGTGAGGCAGCAGTGCTAACCACTGAGCCACCACGCCACCCTATGAGAGGTCTGTTCATAAATCTGATAACAGCAGGGAAGAAGCTGTTCTTAAATATGCTGGCACACGTTTTCAAGCTTTTTATCTTCTGCCCAACATGACAGGGTGGAAGAGAGTACAACCGGAGTGAGAAGGGTCTTTGATTATTTTGGCTGCTTTCCCAAGGCAGTGGGAAGTGCAGATGGAGTCAATGGAAGGAAGCTTGGTTTTCGTGATGGACTGGGCTGTGCTTACAACTCTCTGTAATTTCTTGTGGTCTTGGGCAGAGAAGTTGCGTTGGGATAGGATAATTTCTACAGTGCATCTATAAAAATTGATGAATCATTGTGGACATGCTGAATTTCCTTAGCTTTCTGAGGAAGTAGAGGCATTGGTGTACTTTCTTGTTGTAGCAATGTGGACGGACCAGGATAGATTGTTGGGTGACATTTACTCCTAGGAACTTGAAGCTCTTGACCACGTCCACCTCAGCACCATTCATACAGACAAGGGTGTGTCCTCCACTCTGCTTCCTGAAGTCAATGACCAAATCCTTCATTTTGCTGACATTGAGGGAGAGATTGTTGTCTTTGCACAATACCGCTTTCCTGTACTCTGTCTTGTTGTTGCTTGAGATCTGACCCACTACAGTGGTAACATCAGCAAATCTGTAAATGGAGTTAGAGCTGAATGTGGCCAGAGTCGCGAGTGTACAAGGAATATAGTAAGGGGCTGAGTACGCAGCCTGTGGGGCACTGGTGTTGAGGATTATTGCAGAGGCGTTGTTGCCTTTCTTACCGATAGTGGTCTGCGGGTCAGGAAGTCGAGGATCCAGTTGCAGAGAGGGAAGCAGAGTCTGAAATCTCAGAGTCTGGAGATGAGTTTGGTTGAATTATAGTTTTGAAGGTGGACATAAAGTCAATAAATAGGAGTCTGAAGTAGGTCTCAACCTAAATTGGCACCCCTTTATTGTGAGACTATGTCCTCTTGTCCTAGACTCTTCCACGAGGGCAAACATCATCTCAGCATTTACCCTGTCAAGGGCAAGAATCTTGTGTTTCATAAGACCATAAGATACAGGAGCACAATTAGACCATTTGGCCTATTGAGTCTGCTCCACCATTTAATTATGGCTGACATGTTTCTTAACCCCCTTCTCCTGCCTTCCCCACATGACCTCTGATCCCCTTGATTAATCAAGGCCCTACTTATCTCTGCCTTAAATACACTCAAAGACTCAGCCTCCACAGCCCTCTGCGGCAATGACTACCACGGAGTAACCACCCTCTGGATGATGAAATTCCTCATCTCAGTTCTAAAGGGTCATCCCTTCACTCTGAGATTGGGTTCAAGTCTCTTCTAGTTTAGTCTATACAGGCCTCTCAGTATTCTGTAAGTTTCAATCAGATCCCCCATATCGAAGGTCTGAGTACAAATCCAGAGTAATCAAGCACTCCTCATATGACAAGTCCTTCATCGCCAGAATCATACTCGTAAATCTCCTCTGGACCCCCTCCAAGGCTGGTTTTAATGAGATCACCTCGTATTCTTTTAAACTTCAGTAAGTAGAGTCCAAGTCTGCTTTGCTCACAAGACAATCCCTCCATACCAGGGATTATCCTAGGGAATCTTCCCTGAACTGCTTCCAATGAAATAATCTTTCCTTAAATAAGAAAACCAAAACTGCTCACAGTACTCCGGATGTGGTCTCACCAGCACCTTGTACAGTTGCAGCAAAACTTCCCCACTCTTGTACTCCAACCCCCTTGAATTAAGAACCAAAAGAACTGCGGATACTGTAAATCAGGAACCGGTTCTAAGGGTCACTGGACTCGAAACGTTAACTTTGATTTTCTCTTCACAGATGCTGCCAGACCCCGCTGAGCTTTTCCATCAACTTCTATTTTTGTCCCTTGAAATAAGGACGTTTCTGCTATTGTAAGCTCCACTGTAAGCTTGTCACTGTAGTGCCTCCTTCACTGTCTTAACGTTCACTGTTGTTTGATTACATTTCTGTGAAGCAATGGAAGATTTTTGAGCAATGAGCAATTTGTTTGTCAAATGATTTTTAGATTCAATTTGATTTAAAAACAGCACACAGCCTGACAACTTCTAACAGTGAAAAGGGTGAGATCAGAAAAGTAGAATCATTAGGTCTGAATTAGACCAATTATTAGACCAATATCACAGATCCTTTATTGTCACAAGGTCAAAACAGCCAACCCATCACCATTGTGGGTGCCCCAGAACGACTGCTGTGGGTCTCCCACCATGTTTTCGTGACTGCAAGAAATGGGCCTCGCTAGAATTGTCTATAACCAGAAAGCAATTTTAAACAGTGCCACCACAGTAGCAAACATACAACTGCAAC